TAAGAATGTATGTTTTATGGTGTTTGGCAACTTTTGATTTACTTTTGAAAAAGCGTAAATTTTTGGCAGGAAACGAAGAGTGAGGCATTGGATAGAGAGGAGATGGGAGGAGAAGAGGAAAGTCGTTTGGAAGGTGAAGAAAAGGGCAGTGGTAGTGTATTGCAAGCGATTGGGGAGACTATAGTTGAAATTGGGCAGACCACAAAAGAGCTTCTTGTGGGCAAAGATAATGATAAGGTTAAAGAGTATGAGGAGCGCTACAAGGGATCTGGAGAAGGCATTTAGATGATGATGATGATGATGATAATGATGTTCTTCTTAAGGTTTGTATAGGCTGTTGTATGAGTTGATCTTTGAGGTGTAATAAAAGTGTGTTGTGTTGATCCAGCACGGATGTTTGTGTGGTGTATGTGAGTAGAATCTCTTTATGAGTTGAGCGACTTTGTGTGTGTGTGTGTGTGTGTGCCTTTATTATCTGTATATATTCCGGTTGTTTTGAAGATTTCAGCTACTTTTTCATCCAAGTAATAAATACCCAGTTAGTTAATTAATTATTAACACTCATTAGAGGTTTATCACACTCATTCCCTCTCTCATTTTCCATTTAGCTTATCTCCCCTAGATTTCTTTCCGTGTGTTTGGCCTTGTTCCCTTGGTTTCTTCAAGCCACTAGTATCTCCTCCTCAATTCAAGACTTAGCGGTAAAGCTAGAATCCTTCGAACTGTCTGCTGAAAAAGAGAATGAAATTATCTCGATTAATTCGGGAGAAGGAATGTAACAGAAGACTTTCTGGGAAGATGGTAAGGCATAAAAAGGCAAACATAACCGGCCTAAGAAGAGAAATAGGTCAGAGATGAGATTCATTCTCAGAGGAATAAGCACCAACTTCTTTTGGTTTATGAAAAAAATTGGACTTTTGAAAATCAGTTTCTTATTATTGGATGGAAGGAATCGCATCCCTGCTTCCAAGATTAGAAATACAGGTTCAAGCATGGAACATCCCATCAACAGAAGTGGGATTGAAAATCGGCAAGATCTTCAAAAAGACCCTTGATGTTTCGGTCCCTCGTGGAAGAAATCTAGCAAGCGAGTGTGTGAGAATCAGATGTACTCATTTGCAAATATGAAAGGTCGAGCTTGTGATAAAAGGTCTACTGAAGGCCCCAGAGATCTACTTTTAAGTCCATCCTCTGCAAACAACAACTCTGACACAACACCTCACTCCCCCAAACCTCCTTTCTAACCAAAGCCACACAGCCAAACTAATAATCTCTTTGAAACAGTCTTGAGTCTTCCTCCCTTACCAAAGAAACTTATATCCACCACAACTGAACTACCCCACTCTAGCTCACCTAAACAATAAGACTCAGCAACATCTCCCCAGTCAGACTCTCACTCAGCAAAAACGTTCAACTCAGGGGTCATGGGAAAATAGAAGATTTGGAAGAGGAATCTTCAACCAGGGGTAAAATAGAAAGAAACTCTCAGATAAGGAATACCAAAAGTCCTGAATCTCTTGGTTGAAACATCTATATCTATAATCTATCTATAACTCTCTTAAAAGGAAGAGTTGTTTCTTGAAACTTCTGAATTGTCAAGAATACCCTCATAAAAAGATAAGTTTTAAGGTTATTAATGTAATTTTCTTATTAATGTTAGGAAGTTACAACTTTTATTTAGTATCTTTTATTTTTTATGCTTAATTATATCTTTAAGTTCTTACACATATAAAATATTACCTACGCAAATTCTTATATTTTAAATAATAATTTATTCTTATCTATATTATTATGAATTAATCTATATATGGCGTTAGGTTTCAATTTGGTTTTTTTAAAGGTAGTTTTAAATGTAAGAGAATTATTTTAAGATTTTTTAAATAAAATATATGATATTTCATAAGTGTAAAATATATAATGCACCACTTAAAGTATCATCTTTAATTTCCAAATATCATATTTTTTACCATACAAAATTTTTGTTATAGTATTAAAAAAATTAAAGAGGAATTTAGTGAACATGCATATGTTTAAGAATGATTGAATCAAAAATAATTATTCAACATACAGAATGTCAACTTTCTATGAAAAAAAGTTATTTGTTAAGTAAAAAAGATATGATCTTAACAGAAATATTTATTTAAATTATTCACTAAAACAATATGCATAATATGATTTAAGTTTACCTGTTAATAATATGTATACTATAAATGTTTATTTATAATAATGTGTTACATAAATTAAAATAGCATTTACTGAATTGTAATATAAACAAAAATAGATTAATTACAGAAATAAAATAAAATAACTAAAATTCTCTTTTAAATCTTGAATTTCATAATCAGGGGCGGATCTAGAAAAATATTTTTGGGGGGACTAGAGCTGTAATCGAACAAAACTGTCTGTGAACACAACTCGGTCTGACTAACAAAAACTCGAGCTCAACTTGTTCTTTTACTTAAATAAACTAATTTTTTAGACACTACATTGACTTTATGTATTAACAGAGTCGGGTCTTACTTGTTCATTAAATGAGTCAAGCCAAGCTGACTCATTTATTAATCAAACACGAGTTTGAACATGAGATATTTTACATTGACTTGACTTAAATAACACCTTTAGATATGATATATAGTTTTTATAACACACACACACACACACACATACAGTTTCATTTTATATTAAATAGATAAAATAAATAATAAAAATGTTGTACAAAATATATAACTTATGGACTTTGGTATTCTAAAATTGTGTTTGATATTATTTCACTTCACGATGACTCATTAACAATTGATTCAGTGTTAATTTGCATATCTTGCATGCTATGTTGTTTAAAAATTTTTTATTAAGATGTCACATATCTCATACATTCAATTTTATTAAATCATAAATTACAAAGAAGAAACACCAAATATTATAGATGGAAAGTGAAAATTTACTAACAAAAATATAATGTACGTAGAAATAATTAATAGACAGAGCAATACAATAATTAGTAATAATTATGGAATGTAGGTATAAATTGAATATACTTATGAATATATATTTATGTAGTAAAGGATAAATATTGGTAATATACTTACAATATGTATATATATAAATAGTAAATAATTAAAAGTTTGGGGGGACAATGGCCCCCCTATCTACAATGTGGTTCTGCCACTATTCATAATATGTGTACTTATGAGAAAATAGTTACAATTAAAATTAATTAAATAAAAATAAATAGTAAATTTACTTTAAATTTCTTGTCTTTAGCATATCTTATTTATAAAATCATTTATAAATTAAATGTTTCAAATCACTTCTCAAAAGTGGGGAGAAAATAAACTACATAAAATATTGATGAAGATATAAAAATAATATTAAGATAAAAGTAAAAAATGAAAGAATCATCATTTTATAATTCATTAAAGCTAGAATTATTAAATTTTCACATTTAGGATAGTCTTGAAAATCCGTAAACGAAGCTAATGCATGTATGACAATTTTAGGAGACACAACAATAATTTATGTTGGACAAGATATATAGATAGATGAGTATCTTTAATATGTTATTATTCCTAAGCTTTTTCATGAAATTTCTTTTTTTGAAATAATTACGACTTTAAAGACATTTTCAAATATTTATGTGTCTCTTATGTCATTATGACAAGAGAAAAATTATATATATCTAGGTAGATGAAATATTATACTTGCAAATATAACTAAACTTGCAACCACTATCATCAAAATAATTGAGAACGAATGATTCAAACATAATGTTTTAGCTTTTAATCGACAATAAAAAAAGATCATTACAAATTTTAGTTATAACAAATTCGAGTTATATTCCAAATAGTATGATGCAAAAAAATGACATTAGAAAACTATATTTGATGGCAATATTAATGATCATTATATTAAGCAAATGTAGGGAAAATAAACTATATAAAATGTTGATGAAGATATAAAAATAATGTTAAGATACATATAAAATATGAAGAATCATCATTTTATAATTCATTTAAACTGTAATTAGTAAATTTTCACATTTAGGATAGTCTTGAAAATCCGGGACTGGTGATGATGAATGTATGACAATGTTAGGAGATGCAACAATAATTTGAGTCCGAAAAGATATATAGATAGATGGGTATGTTTAATCAAGATGTTATTATTCCTAAGCTTTTTCAAGTAAATTTTCTCTTTAAAATAATTACGACTTTAAAGACACTTTCAAATATTTATGTATCTCTTATGTCATTATGACTAGAGAATAATTATACTTGCAAATATAATTAAACTTGCAACCACTGTAATAAAAATAATTGAGAACGAATTATTCAGACATAGTTTGTTAGCTTCCAATCGACAATAAATAAAAAATAATATTAGAAATTATAGTTATAACAATTTTGAGTTATTTTTCCAAGAGTATGATACAAAAGGATGACATTAGAAAACTATACTATGATGACAATAATAGTGATTATTATTTTAAGCACATTAAAGATATCATTAAATAACAAAATCAAAGACGATATAAATTTCTTTAACATTTAAATTTTCACTAAAAAAATAGTAACTTTATTTTGGGTTTTCAATCCAATGTTTTATTATTTAATTTTATTTATATAGAGTTAAGCTAATAGTATTAAATACTATATTTCATTATTCAATAAAATACACCATTTTTTGTTAAACTAATTGAAAGAAAATTATAATATACTTTAAATATAAACCTAATACTAAAAATAATTTAAAAAAATACTAATTAAAATAAAATTATATTATATTATTAAATATAAACCTAATACTAAAAATAATTTGAAAAAAAAATATCACGTGCGTAGCACGTGCATCTTCCAAGTCACAAGAAAAACCACACATATTAAAATTACCTATCTATATTTTGAGCATATTAATACTCCTTAATTATATATCTATTCAAGTCTTCAAATATGATATATTTCAATTTGATAAAACAAATATATATAAAAAAAAAACTTAAATTACTCTGCGTCATAATTAGGCTGTTGAATTCTAGGTGTAGTAACATGCATTCTTTATTTTCAGGATGCCGGTGATGTTACCTATGTTGATGAGGATGATGTTTGCTTTTATATCTTGTGTGCTTATGATTATCGCAATCCGATTGGAGGTGATGATCCAGAAGAAATCCAAGCAATATGAAGCACTTAGAGATCATTGCTAATAGTATCAAATACTATATTTCCTTATTCAATAAAATATATCATTTTTTGTTAAACTAATTGAAAGAAAATTATATTATACTATAAATATAAACCTAATACTAAAAATAATTTGAAAAAAAATACTAATTGAAAGAAAATTATATTATATTATTAAATATAAACCTAATACTAAAAATAATTTTTTAAAAAAATATCACGTGCGTAGCACGTGCATCTTCCAAGTCACATGAAAAACCACACATATTAAAACTACCTATCTATATTTTGAGCATATTAATACTTCTTAATTATATATCTATTCAAGTCTTCAAATATGATATATTTCAATTTGATAAAACAAATATAAATAA